TATGAAACATTTGGAAACTTTTCAGATCCCTAGCCTCCAAACAACATCAAATTACAACCACACATATAATATGCCCTTCACCCCACCCCGCACATATAGAATATCCATACAAATAAGTCTTTCTTAAGTAGCTCTTTCAAATATTCAAGTTTGGATGACTTTCAAAATCAAGAAATTTAGTACACACAGCAGAAAGATAGGAAATACTAACATATCTTCTGCATAATTATTAAGAGTATTGTTTCTTGTATTAGACATCTACTAACAACACTGCTTTGCCTGCTTGTTTTACTCTAGGACAATAACTTGTCTTTATTAATAGGATTTCTATGAATATTCTTTCATTTAGAAGTATAAATGCACTTTTAAAAATCACCCAAATGCAAGATTTTCTTGTAATTTGAACATTTAAAGAACTTATTGGTTAGGAAATTCAGTCAGCATGCGATTTTTATTCCTTTGCTACATCAGAGGTATCACCAGGCATGTTCTCAGATTAACATCATCTAAAAGATTTTATTAAATGACTGGGCATTAAAATATGAGCTTGATCCTCTGCTACAGTAAAAATATCCCCTAGGCACATTCTCAGATTCTTAAAATTCTTTAAAAACATATTATTTTATGATTGACTATGAAAATGTAAGTTTTATATATTGTATGGTACTATAATATATTAAATATTACATATTATAGCTACAAGGATTAATACAATGCTTAGAATGTTTTTACCCTAAATCTTAATTTTAAATAGGAGTGATTTGTAGTTTCTAATAATTCTACTATAAAATAATTTTTAAATTTTGCTCTTTTGTTCTCATCTACTGAGACCCTGCATACACAACAAATATATTTTCATTGCTTTAAATTTCACATTTAATAATTTAATAAATTTAATGAGCAGAAGTAGTTTTAATTAATGCATTCTTAAGGAAGTGAACAAGTGCAGTGGTTAAAAATAATACGTTTCCTATCAGATCTGGAAATTGTACATTTACATATAACTAAGAAATATTTACAAATGAGCTAGAAAATACATTTTTATAATAGTAGGTAAATGATGAATTTACGATACCAGTGAAATGAAAGATAAATCTGGTATCCCCCTTTTTATTTTAAGAGTATTTGTTAGGCAGGGGTTTGACCTTGTTCAAAACAGTTCAATCATTATCAACCGAACATATGTATTGCATTGCAACCAGATTTCTGGCATGTGGGATTTCGGCCTAAGTAGTAAACTAGTAGCAATACCCTTTAAAGATGGTGGCAGATACACATTCAAAAATGGCGTGGTCAGCTGCCATCTTTAAGTATAGCACCACTGCCTGTTGCCCACTCTGATCTGAATCCCATTAGCAAGAGATCTGGCTGCTTGGCAGTGTGTCCTCTCTCTCACAGTCAGCCATGATTGAACCAGTGTGTATCTGCTTGATGCCTGGTGGGAGGGCATAGAGTACTTACATGTGTGGATAATATATACAGTGCAATGATTCCCTTAGAAAAGTCTGGACCCTATATAATCTGAACAATCATGTAATTGTTAGGTGTAGTAATCAATCTGAATCAATGAAATGAAATTTTGTAAAATACAGCATTATTAGTTTTTGTGGAATCTCTAAGCAAGCATATAGTTTAGAATAATAGTATAAGCATAAGGTTAAACTTATTTAAATAATCCATTTATTAAATGGACCTAGTAATTTTGTAGTTCAGATGTCATCCAATTTCTTTACTGCTAATTTGTATTGAGATTGCTCAATATTCTATATCATATGAAACCTTTAAAAATTGGGTTAATAATTTTTATAGATTCTGTATAGTACTATAGAAACATTAAATACTAAAAATGTTTTTATTACTGAAAAAACACTTAGAAAACATCATTGTGAATTCACTTAATCTTATGACACAGACAAATGAATTTTTCTGTATTATCAATTTATAAAAAAAACCCTGAGTAGTAAAATTTCAATTTTATTCTTTCAGCTTTTAAATAGCAAATACATTAATTTACAACCTTTGAAAATGAAAATTCTTGAACCATATCTGGCTTGCCATTTTTGTAAAGTTTTTTTGGGAACACAATCCTGAGTTATCTTTTACATGATGTGGATTTGATTGACGAAGTTAATTAGCTGAGATAGCAGCCTGGTAACCCACAAGCTTTTTTCTTTTTTGGTGAATAATATTATCTAAAATATTTACTATCTGCTCCTCTACATAAAAAATTTCCAGCTTCTGTAATATATATTGGTGCATGTGGTAGGAAATTGTTTAATGAATTGCTAAAATGTTGACACCATGGGTTTAATCCATGTTATAGTTAAGTGGTCTGGTAGTTTGAACTTATCCAGCTGTTCTGAAGTAAGACCCTGTGGTTTGCTCTTGTAAAGATAATAGTCTAGAAAATCCTATGGGGAAGTTCTACTCTGTTTCATGAGTGGCTATGATTTTAAAATTGATTCCCTGACACCTGGTAACTTTTATGTCAGTTTAGAAATATTCTTTAGGTATATTAATTTCCCTAGGAGCAAAATTAAAGAAAGAGTTACAAAAAAGGAAATACAGTAGTGTACTTTAAGTATACTTTTGAAAAAATATATTATCAGATAATGTGATTAAATATATTTATATATCATTAATAATAGATGGTCCTCAAATAAGTAAATGTTTAAGCATAATCTCCACACTGACATTTTTGGTTTTAATTTTTGGTAATCAGAAATATGTACCAGAATTATTTGTTATAATTTAAAACCTGCATAGAAAAAAGCAGTGCTACAGGGAAATTAGATTTTGACTTGACCAGATAAATATTTGAATTTACTTTGTTTGGCAGGTAGTCATGGCTATTGAGAAATAATGCCACCTTCTGTAGCACAACCTGACCATGCTGAGTTTCAAGATTGGGGGGGGTGGGGGGGGGTCTCCCTGGTAGGGAATTTACAACTAATGGAAGGAGAAAACTAAGATCAAATCCAGTAACACATTATAAACCTTATGTATTCATTAATATGACCAACACCAATGAGGGAGGGGAACCCTGGTGGTGTCGCAGTTAAGCATTGGGCTGTGATCTGCAAGATCAGCAGTTCAAAACCACCAGCCGCTCCACGGGAGAACGATAGGGCTTTCTACTTCCATAAACAGTACCAGTCTTGGAAACTCACAGGGACAGTTCTACCCTGTTCAATATGGTCACTATGAGTCAGCATTGACTCAATGTCAGTGAGTTTGGTTTTTGTTGTTTATTTGTTAATTAGGGAAGTGGTCATGATATGATGGTTGCCAAAGAGAGTGGTAGAGATGATAGCAACTTTGTGGGGCTTGAATTTAGGAAGATTATGCAGTAGAACCCTGGTACTTGACCATATCAGTACTCGACATTTTCAAATTTCGACGCAAATGTCGAGAAAATTTTGCTTCTGAGCTCGAACCAAACCTCAGATCCAATAGGATCAGGTATCAGGCATCAATGACCCAGAACAAAAAATCATATCACTTTGAATGAGGGGGAGTACAGAGTGGAGACACAAAGCCCATCTGTAGGCAATTGGACATCCCCTTACAGAAGGGTCACAAGGAAGAGATGAGCCAGTCAGGGTACAGTATAGCACCAATGAAACATACAATTTTCCTCTAGTTCTTTCATGCTTGGCAAACCACCCCGCCCCCTATGACCCTAATTCTACTTTACAAATCTGGCTAGACCAGAGTATGTACACGGGTACAGATAAGAGCTGGAAACAGGGACTCCGTGACAGATAAACCCCTCAGGACCAATATTGAGAGTAGCCATACCAGTTATTTCTTATGGATGGGAAAATGATTCGGAACGCGACTGCATCGCATCTCGATGCTCCTTCTAGAATGGATTAGCGTTGAGGGCTGGGGTTCTACTGTATAAGGGAGCTTTTTGTGAGTTTCAAAAGAGAGAATGCAGTATGTCATATAGGAGAGAAAAGCAATTAGGTCAAATAGCCTTTTACCACTTCATGAGTTTTGACCTTATCTATAAATTGATTTGAATGTTTTAGAGGGTTTTAAGTGAATAAGTGATATAAGTATAACCTAGTCTGTACTTTAGAAATCTTCCTCTAGGAGCAAAGATTTTAGTATAAGGACCTGTCGTTTGGTGTTGTTCAGTTGATTCCAATTCATAGTAATCCCATGTGACAGAGTAGTACTGCCTGACAGGATTTTTTTCTTGGCTTAAATCTTGAAGGAAGCCCATTGCCAGGTCATCCTCCCATGGTGCTGTTGGTAGGCATGAACCACTAAAGTTTCAGTTAGCAGTCAAACACATAAACATTTGAGTCACCAGGACTTGCATTAAATCTTAGAAAATTACAGTTGGAGGTAACCCTAGAGATGATCAACCCAGCCATGTCATGTTGGACAGTTTATTTGAACAGAGCCACAGCTAAGGAGGAGTTCTCTTGCCTTCAGTTCAGTAATTCTGTCTCTGACTCTGTTGATTCGTTCTCCTGGTGTGCCATTTGTCCTAAACTATTCCAGCCCCTAAGAGCACCCTTTTGTCTAAGGTTCACTCTGCCTCGCTGCAGTAAATCCAGTTGTTTCCCGTAATCAGTCTTGGTTGTTGATTTCTTCCTTCCATATCCCCACTCTGTTCCTGTGGAGTCTCCCTTTTACCAAATCAATTCTCTTTTCCTTAGTGCTACTTCCACTACTACTAGTATAGGTCCTTCCCTCATTACTCTACAAAGATAGCCGAAACCAGGCTCTCACTTTAAAGAAACTTTCTGGAAGTTTGGTAATCACAGAAGGGGATTATAATATAGAGACCATAAAATAAAACTGCATACTAGATACCATGGTCTCTAGGTCACATGTTTCTCCTAAACAAATATGAATTTTAGAACTTTATTTAGATAGGACACATTTTCTTATGGGAATCGAAATCTCCAGAAATTGCCTCGGTCCCTAAAGAAGAAAGCCTTTCCCCATTATTCAGTAGAGCCGTTTAGTTCTGTGGAGCCATGCTGTCTTGGCCTGTCTGGAATCTCTCTACTAGAAATTAAACCATTATTCTCAAGTGATTCTGGCTCATAGGGGCCCTATAGGAAAGAGTACAACGGTTTCCAAGGCTGTACATCTTTCTGGAAGCAAGCTGCCACATCTTTTTCTCAGGGAGCTGGCTGTTGGTGGGTTTGAACCACTCATCTTTAGGTTCACAGTTGACTGCTTGATTATTGTGCCACCGGGTTTCCTTATTGGAAATGAGAATCTTCCATTTATTTATGCATAACCTAGGGCTCACTTAAATATTTTCTAGATGAAGAAGTTCTCATCTCCTTTCCTGGGTTCCCACCCCCCACAAGGGCATCTTTGCTCTTTGATAATACTTTTATGTGAGCATATGTCATCCATCTCCTTCCCTCCACTGACTTATTTCTTGGCTGCTAAGTTAGGATTTATTCACCCTCAAAGTACATTCTTCTTCTCTGTCTTTCCCTTTGGTTGCCATTTTTACTCTCTTGCTCTACATTTTCCTCACATACTTCAAATGTTTTGAACATAGATTATTTTTCTCTTTCTTTGTATTTTCTATTTCTTACTCAATCAGTTTTTCTCTAGTTTGACTTGTTCTTATAATCCACTGAAGATAGGGTGCTAGTAAAAATGCCTCCAAAGGTAAAAGAACAGTTATTTATAATATTTCACCACTAATTTAATTTTTATTAATTATAGAAGAGATAGCAATTTGAGTACATTCCAAATGTACTTTACACAATTGATGTATGTATGGACTGTGATAAGAGTCATATGAGCCCCTAATAAAATGATTTAAAAAAAGAAAAAGAAAACAAAACAGCAACAACAAAAAAGAGTACATTTCTTTAATTTGTGAAGCAGATTAATATTTCTTCTTGCAGCCAATAAAATCTGACATCATGAATAATTACTCAGATGTGGGCAGTGGAGTTACAACTTTATGGGGGTGGTTATTTTATGAAACTAGAGCCTAGAGTTAGCTTGCCTCTTTAAAAACTCCTTATGTATGCATGTGCTGTGTGTGCAGTTTTGCATTACTGACTACTGTGTAGTATGCATTACCAACTCTCAATAAGTACTACACAGCTACTTCTCCCTTTAGCAATAAACCTATTGCTGTTTTTCAGTGCTAAATTGGCTTCTATTTAGATGTCATGTTGTAAGACACAAAAAGCCTTGTTTGATTTGATCGTAGGTATGAATTAATACAGAAGGGGACAGCTGAACATAGAAATTCTGAGAATGTTCCAGATGTCTACATCCAGAATATGCTTTTAGGAAATGAGAACAGAACTTTGAAGAAAGAATTGAAGCACTACAAACAGGCAGCTGAGTATGTTATCTTTTAATGACCATGAAAATATATATATTATTTTTACCTAATAAAAATTATAATTGAAGGAAGCTAATGGGGGAATGCTGGTGAATGTACTAAAGCATGAATTCTGGAATACTGACATATTTAAGTTCTGGTTAGAAAGTCTGTGAAAGACTTTACCAACAGATTAACTGAAATGATGACCTGGATTCACAAAACTCATTCACTGACAAGAGTAGAATGCAGCGGGTTGTGAAGGAAATGGAATTTGTGATACAGTATTTCCTTACTTATGAATTTTGATGATCTTTTCTTGAATTGTGAAATGTTCTCCTGTGAAGATAAGCTAATATCTGAAATAATAATAATCTCTTATAGACAGCAGAGAGGAAAAGAGCTAGTTTATTCCTAGTAGAGGAACTTCAAGATTTAGAAATCCCCCCTTGGAAATTTTGTTCTGTAATTTCCTAGCACACATTTAGCATAGATGAGAAACCTAGCAGTTTGAAACTAAATCTCTCTGCATTTTCATCTTAAAAAAATTGATGGAAGGTATGCAATTTTCAGCAAATTTAGGTAAACAGTCAGTGTTTTTGCAGAAGACAACAATGTGAAAGTACAGACTTGGGTGAATCTCGAGCTCTCAGGTAGTACTATTTGGAAAATCACTCCTTCAATATGGACCTCGGACAGTTAGTTCATGCTTCACATACTCATTTTTATTAAACATGTTTTAGAAGAGCTTTCTATATTAAAGAATCTTATTAGGAACATGATATTTTAAAAATGTTTCTAAAAAAGTTAAATGCATAGAAACAATAGTTTTGATTGTACAATGAAGGAAACATTTGGAGGCCTTAATAAACGTTTAGGTGTGTTCTAAAATAAACTCCCACTTTTAAAAGTTGGCTCTAAATAAAAGATAATTTGTATGATTGAGTTATTATATGCATATATAGAAAGTTTCTCTGAGGAATGTACATTTCATATTTCCTGTGGGTAAACGATGTGGCATTTAAAAATTTACGTTTCACAAAGATGTGCATGATGATCCACAAGAGTGATATGTTTTTAGAACCAGGGTTTTTTCTATTCTTGGTTCCATTTCTCAGAAGTGGTTTGTACTGTTTGCCCTGATGCTCACTGTGATTTTGTGCAGACCCCTAATGCATGTGCTGGGAATTTAACCCAGCAGAGTTTTCAGAGTGCTGCCTGGCATACTGTTTCAGCTCCTGATTTCCTCTCAATTATTGCTTGAGTTTGCTAATTTTCTTTTGAATAGACACATCCTCTTTCTGCAAGGAGATTTGCCCCAGTCACATTAAATATTCATTGTTGATTAGTGGATGTTTATTGAATATTATTTAATAACTATAATCAACAGTATATAAACTATTATCCATGCAAATTAATATAATGTTAGAAAGGAACCATGATTAAAACAGGTACACTCAAATGAAGTCTGTCTCTTATTTGTGTTTGTTAAAATATCTGATTTTAGTTTTAGTTTCAGTGGCTTATGGATATTTTCCAAGTCTTATCTCATTTGATATACATGCTTACAAATAGGAAAAGAAACATATCATTTGATTTATCTGCATGACATGATAAATCTGAAGAAAACATGCTTGGCCCTTCGTCCAAAACCCTACTGATATCAAGTTGCTTCCTACTTACAGGGTCCGCAGAGAAAAGAATAGAACTGGTTCTTAAAATGTTTGAGACTATCAATTTATAAAACAAAACACAACTTTTATTGTAAAATAGGTGAAGGTTTACAGAGCTATCAGTTTTACATTAAACAGTTGATACACATTGTGCTTCATCTCACCCCTGGAATCACCTCAATGTGCCACCACTTATCTCACTTATCCCTATGTTTTCATTCCTCTTCCTTCTCCAACCCTCCTGAACTTTGACCTTTGATAAAATCTGCCATTTGACTTTAAAAGGTTGATTATTTTAAGATGCGCCTACTTCAGTAGCCCTGTGTTCCCCTTGTGGATTTGTCTATTGTTTGGCTGAAAATGATTCACAGAGATGAGTGGAGCAATCACTCTCATCTTTCTGGCACAGAGCAGCTGGTAGCTTTGAACCATCGACCTTGAGGGTAGCACCACAATGCTTAACACACTAAGCCACCAGGACTCTTGTGCCTCTTAGTTATTAATTTGTTGAATTCATGTTTTCATATTACCTCTTGGTAAATATGTCTCTGTAACTTTGTTCTATTGTATACCTGCTCAGAAAATGCAGAGTGAAGTTTGGGGGAAAATAATCCAGAGATTCATCTATCTTGCTATTATCAAGGTATTATCATTTTCTGCCTTGCCATTGGCTTGCCCCAAATTATATTGCCTTCCTTAACAAGAGTTTTCAATCTCACTTGTGAGGATATTTTTCTAACAGGAATTAGTGATAAATATGAGATTCCCTTTACTGAATTTGACAAAATGCTTGCTATTTCTTTAGATTTGGTTATTGTTTAAATAAGTGTTGATGTTAAATAATTTTATAATAATAATAATCGAAAAAAACATCTTACTGCCATTGAGTCAATTCCTACTGAAAACAACCCAAAAGGACAGAGTAGAACTGGCCCAGTAAATCTTTACAGGACTAGAACGCCTCATCTTCTTCCACAGAGCACCTGGTGGTTTTGAACGGCTGAGCTTGCAATGAGCAGCCTAGCTCATAAATCACTATGCCACTATGACTTTTTAATATGCAAAAAGTAATCTTACAGACAGGTCATGTATTGCCCTTGAATGTACTGGTAGCATTGAATGCTATATATAGAAAAATCAGATGAATTATGCAACTGTATAATTAATATTTATTTGGGGGAGAGTTGCTGTGAAAGAATACTCAATTTCAAGTTCAAGTACCTGTCCTCCAATATTCTGCTATGTATTAACTCAGCTTTCTTATTGTTAAACAAGGTGTAATTATACATAATATTATTAACTCCTAGGGACTAATGTGATAATTAAATGAGAAATCTATGTTAAGTAGCTGTAAAAATTACAACGTGCTTTGAAAATGCCAGCTATCTAAATGTATTAATAACAGTATCTCTAAAGGCTCTATCCCTTATTTTTTTGTAATTATCACATATTTAATATTTTGAAGTTCAGCAATGATGAAGTATGGGGGACGAAATGAAGCAGGAATGTTAATTCTAAAATATGATCTGAAATTCTATAATTAAAGCAAGGTTTTATCATTTTAAAATCATTTTATTAGGGGCTCATACGACTCTTATCACAATCCATATATACATCAATTGTGTAAAGCGCATTTGTACATTCATTGCCCAAGTATTATCATTTTCTACTTTGTCAGCATAACCAATTTAAAACAACAAAGGTTTTCAACAAATGTGCTTCAGATGTAAATTTTTTCTAATATAAATAGTTTGGGGAGTAGCTGTTAGGAACATTTGTTTATATATGCTCTAAGGGAAAGAGAATAATATTGTTGAAAAGTTATAGGTACATATAAGGTAAAATTTTGTTGCATACTGGATACTTGTTTGGTATTCTCACTTGACAAAGAACATAACTACAGTTTTCTATTGGATTGTGGACTAAATGCTTTTTTAAATGAAGAGACTTAGGATTTGATCTTAAATTAGCAGAGAACTGATTGCTGAGTGAAGACTAGAAAATTATTACTAAGAATTATACCTTCCACATTTAGGACCTAAACTTTGCTTTAATTGGTAGGTAGCATGCCAAAAGATTTATGTTACGAAGATGTCTACAAATGACTATTGTAGTTTCATCAGCTAACCTGTTTGTTTGATCTTGTTTTCTTTATTACTATCATTTTATACCTTTTCATACTGTAGGTACAGAAAAAATCTCAACGAATGTTTCATTCTTAATAACACTAATGTATTTGGACTTTAGTGTGTATTCTAGCTTCTACCTGCCTACTCTACTGGATTGGCCTTCAAGGACATTAAGTACTCTTTCCCCAATTTAGTAGTCTCCCCCCCTCACCCCATAATAATAAATGAAGAGAAATGGATTGCAGTGTACATGGATCAACAATTAATACCCATGGAAATAGTAGTCATTAAATCAAATATTGTATTGCAAAAAAGTAAATCTACTGCAAAACACTTCCTTAAAGTTCTAAGAAACGAAGTTGTCACTCTGATAGTCATCAAGGTGCCCCCGAAGCAAGTCAGGGCTTTATAAATCTCATTTAGAAGCGGGATTGAAAAAAAAAAATAACCCACACAGAATTGCTGCATTTGAATTGTAGTGTTGATGAAGACATGGGCACTGAGAAGACAGAACCAATCAGTGTTAGAATACAAGTAGTTCCTCTGGTGCGCCTTTGGTTCTGTTTATTTTGGGCATGCCATCAGGAAGACCAATTGCTGGAGGATGGCGTCATGTTTGGGAGAGGAAATAAAAACAAGCTGTGATGAGGTGGACTGGTAGAAGACCTTCAGCAGTGGGCTGAACGGTATTAAAGATCTGGGAAATGACACAGGACTGAGCAGCACTTTGTTCTGTTACACATAATGTCCCTATGCGTTGGTGTCACCTCAAAGACATCTATAATGAAAGCATCGTATTTATCTTTACTCTTCTCTCTCAGCTTCTGTGACACAGCATGCTGTATGCACCTCCGTTCTCCTCTTACTTCTGCTCCATTGATATCTCCAGGAAGATAGCGCTGACTTCATGCGGATATTGACAGTGGTTCTATATAACTTAGTGCTCCGAAGAAAAATAACACAGATAAAGAGAATAATCATGAATGGGAAATTTGTTTATATAGGATGACTAGTTTATATAGGAAGGTTCTTTCCATTATCTGAAGAAATGGAAGCAACAGGCCAGCTTGTAAACTTAGGAAAAGGAAATTTTGTCAGCGGCTCAGTCAAGATGTCATAGTGGCTGGAGCTGGGAAGTCAGTGGTTGTCCTCTGTCTTTGTTAGAACTTTGCTCTACCCCCTTCTCAACCCTGCAGGAGATGGGAGGAACCCTAGTGGT